TGTATCTACGCGCAGTTCCCAGTATTCACCGACTCTTGGACCAGGATGAGCCTGGTCAAGGTCGGTGTCGCTGTACACCCAGGCATGCGATGGTCTGATTTTTTCAGCACGGGGTCCCCTCAAGTGCGGGCCCTTTCCCCAGGGTTGAGTTTTCACCCCGAGTCAGTTTACAGTCCCTGGGCCTGGCGAGGCCCCCCGGAGGTCGAACATGGCCTCCGGGGGGGCCAAAAATGACATACAACCAAAAAGTAGAGGAATCTATTGGTTTGTAAAAAATGAAGACATGCCGAACTGACAAGAACATAAACATTACAAACTTGGTGGTTGGTTGGTTAGAGAAACATGCCAAAATGACTAAAATAGAAACATAAATAGATGACAAGGCTGGTCGAGATTTGGGGGAACCAAGAAGGACATAAACATCAACTGCCCGAGGTCCGCGTGGATTTCTCAGTCGGCGCTAAAGCCCCCCAGCGGCCCGTCGCGCGCCAGGGAGGGGGGTCCAGGGCTGATCCAAGGAATTCGCGCGGGCCTCTGAAAGTTTATGCTTACGTCATGAGTTTGCTCCTCGACAATCGCCTCCTTGGGTAGCACATCATGGGAGCCTTGTGCGTCCTCGTAGCCCAGTCTTTTCGAGTTCGCTGGCGAGTGGTAATCGGCGAGAGAGCGCCGATTTCGCGTCGATTCAGCGATGATTTCCTCCCGCGAGAGCCAGCAAGATGGCATGGGAGGTTCCTGCGAGTAGCCACCGAAGCCTCCGACCCGTGATTGATCACGACGCGAGCACGCGCTTGGGCCATTGGCATCCTCCCGCAGGAGGCGTCGAGGGCGCGGGCGCGCAGCCGAGCGGCCTCGAGCAGCTGCGGGGCAGGATGTGCGGGCAAGACGCACCTCCACACCCACCTCATCTGGGGGTATCGGGCCTGCTTCCCCTTTAAACCAGCGGCGCAGTGGATGCAGGAAGCAATCTCGCCCCATAGAGGCTAGATGTATGTTCATATCCACGGCGCCTCGGCTGAGTTGAAGTAAGAACGCAGGAGCATGGTCACCGCACTGACTCTGGAGCGGTTTCGTCATCGTCTGAGGGGCTGAGGCCCTACCGCCGACGCCTTCAAGGCGCGCTGTCGCGCGTCAGTGCGGTTGCGGATGTATCGCCGCTCGCCTCGCTCGCTATTGCGCCTCGGCCTTTTTGGTGCGCCGTCCCCGAAAGTCCAAGACGCCGTGGGTATGTGTGTATGTATGTGTGTATATATATACGTATATATGTATCCCTCTCTCTCTTGCCCACAGGATGCGGGAGGTGCGCCGGCGGGAGCGCGGGCGCGCGGCGGCTGAGTTGCTGCATCTGATGGCGAGGAGCAAACAATGGCATGTACATAATATGTCGGAGGTCCGCGCGGAGTTCTTGGATGCGGTCGAAGTGGGGTCGGAGGATCGGGCCGCATCGCCGATGCGGCGGGCTGCAGAGCCACATTTTCTCCACGCCGACGGCGGCGATGCATCAACGACGTCGCCAATGCATCGCCGATGCATCCGCGATGTGTCGCGTTCCTCCGACCCCATCTACTCGGACCCCATCTTGAAGGCCTCTCTCACGATAACCTCTCGGAGGTCTCAGAGAAGAGGAAAGGTACCGATACCGTTGCTCGTGCTCGAGAGCTCTCGTCGCCACGGCTAGCCTCCTCGAAGTTCTGGTCAAACATCACCCCAGGAGAGGTCGAGGGAATACGGTTTCGGTGACATGGAATTTCGGAGGCCCGCGCGGGCGGATCGCTTGTCTGTGGTCGACCTGTGTGCAGCGTACCGCGTTGGCGTTTGTCAAAGCGTCGCCGATCTTCGACTTCGTCCCAGGAACGGTGCTGTGCACGGTGTGTTGCCCTCGGAGCCGACAGGCTTGATGGGAGTCCAACCATGGTGCGGTGCATGGGGGCCGTAGTTTTGGATCGGCACTGGAACCCCCTCCCTGGCACGCGGAGCGCGCCAGGGGCGGCACCCGAGGCGCCGCCAGATGGGCCCAGCGCAGATCCGAGAAATCCGAGCGGACTTCGGACAGTTTATGTCTATGTCATTGTTTGTTCCCCGATGATGGCATGCGATGAGTTCCGCTGCCGCGGCGCGCCCTTGTCGCGGCCGCTGACTGGCGGGGGCGTCGCGCATTTCGGTGCCACGAGGCCCCAGACCTCCAGCGTATTGAGGAAATCAAGGCCGAGGGTTTGTGCCGTTTTCGGCCTCTCGAGGCTTTGCCAGGCCCCGGGACCGTCAAACATTTCATCAGTATAAAAAAAGCTGGTCGAACCATTACGCTGCGTTTGTCCAGCGAGATCCCTTTTCCCATATGGGAATCACCAGAATCAGCGAACCACGCAATCTCAAAGGCTGCCCCGAAATCCAGCAGAGAGGGCCGAGACTTCTGGGGACACCGCATCGAACAAACCTGAGCATCGGACCTAGTAGGGCTCGGGGGAGGGCCAGCTCGGGCTCTCACAACCCTGAGATCTGGGCGTGGCAATTCTTGTTCACGCAGGGCGTGTTCGCTTGGTCTTCGGCCCCAAGACAATGTCAGAGCGACCGATGAGGTCCGGGCGTTTTTTTGTTCCCGCGTGGTGTTTTGTTGTTCGCTCGGTTTCGTACCCTGGGACCATCACAGGTCGATTCGCCTCGGGAAGTGACAGAGACAGATGGGGTCCAGGGCTCCAGTCGTGATTTGGCGCCAGGACGTATTTTTGTCGCAACGTCGGATCTCAGGGAATGCCAGCGTTTCCTGGATCTGTTCCGTCCTTTTGTTCGCCCTATGGAGGCGTCTCGGCTAGGTCCGCTTTGACAAAGTTAGTCAGGACGGACATTTGGATGGGGTCCAGGGAGTTCGTGTTTTGCCTCAGCTCAGGGGCAACGTTATAGGGTGATTGGCTCAGGGGGGTGATGCATCGACCCCAATCGCCCATGCATCGCCCATAGGGGTCAGCGAGCTGTTTCGACGATTCGAGCCCGATGCTTCCTCCGCCCTGAGCGGGTCCCTCTTAAGTCACCCTCCCCTTCATCAACTGACATTCGGCTTCTCGTCGCGACGGCTGGTTCCGTCTCGAAAAACGGGTCAGGACGGACCCCGGGAGGGGTCCAGGGACTCATTTCGAATGGATTTGGGCCGGGCAGGCCTCTGTTGTCTCTTCTCAGGGGCAACATCAAATGGGGATAGGCTCCGAGGGGGGGGGGGCATCCAGCCCTTACCGCACAATCATCACCAATAGGAGCCTGATAGCTCACCCCGCCCTGCAACGTGCGGATCCGCTATCGAGGGCCCATCGAGATGTATCGCCGATTCCAGCTCGCTGTTTCCCCCCCCTGAGCCTGTCCCCCTCTGTGACGTTCCCCTCATCAAGCGGCGATCCTCCGAGAGGCCGGGTGCCCTGACGACTGAGCTGCACTCGCACGAGGCTCGCATAGCAAAACCCATGGCACAGACAGAAGCCGTCGGAGGCCCGCGCGGAGTTTGTGGATCGGCGCGGGCGGCGCAAGGGGGGCCAGGGGGGGCTCCAGCGCCGATCCAAGGACTCCGCGGGGGGCTCCGACAGTGCCCGCCCGTGCAGCTGCTTGGGCTCCTCCAGAGGTGCTCGCCGCCGTCGAGAGGCACCTCGAGGAGAGCTTCCCCGGCGCCGGGCCCCCGGGCCGCGGCGGCGCCCCCGCGGGCGCGGCGGGGCTGCAGCTGGCGTTGTTCAACGCTGGCCAGGCCTCGAGAGCAGGAAGCGCACCGCCACCACCACCACCTGGGGGGGATCTCAGGATGAGCTGGTGTGCGGGATGCGGGTGTGCACGGTGTCCCACGAGAGCGCCCGGAACGACATACACCACCACCACCACCACCATCACCACCACCACCACCACCACCACCACCACCACCACCACCACCACCACCACCACCACCACCACCACCACCTCTGTCCAGCCTCTGCCTCCATCCTCCAGGTGGTGGTGGTGGTGGTGCATCTCCTTCTCCCTGAGGCCTACGCCCTCTCGGCGCTGTTCGGGTACGTGCTCCGGCGGGCGGAGCAGCGCTTCAGGCTGGACGCCGTCCTGCGTGGAGGGCAGGGTCATCAGAGGAGGAAAAGATTTCGATAGCGTTTGGTAGCAGCTTATGGGAGCCGTGCATGTCTTCGAAGGTCTGTCTTTGAGTGTAGAGTGCATTACTTAGCGTGCCATGCCGTGTGGTAGTCGATGAGAGAGCGCCGGCTTGGTGTTGTTTTAGCGGCGTTTTAGCATCGAATAGCGTCGGCTCGCGTCGATTTCGCAAGAGCCAGCACGATGGCTTGCGAGGCTCCCGTGAGTTGCCACAGAAGATGTCGCTGCCTCTCCCTAGTCACCACCGCCAGATTCGCCCAGGAGAGGTCCGTGGAGCGGCGGTGTGGGGATCGTTGTGTTCCCCCAGGTCCAGAGGGCGGGCCCGGGCAGCCCGACGACGCTGCGGACGGCCTGCTGTTGCGGTATCGGAGGCGCTTCATTACGGCGAACCACCGCCCGCCCCCCGCTGTGTGGAAGCGCCTGTGTTGCCAAACGGTTGGCCTGAATCTTGCCAAGCCATTGGATTGCGTGTTCCCCCAGCCGTTGTGCAGGCCTTGGCCTCTGGGGGGGCACTTGGCCCAAAGTGTTCCCTCAAGTGTTTTGGGGGAGGAGGGAGAGAGAGAGAGAGAGAGAGAGAAAACAAAATAATGAAAGAAAGAAACATAGTAAAGGAGGAGAGGGAGGAGCAGGAGAATGAAGATGAGGAGGCCTCTTTGGGCCTCCTGGGGGCCTCCTGGGGCCTCTTGGGGAAGGCCTCTTGGGGCCCCCCGAGGCTGCTTGGTAGCAGCTGGGCCCTCTGCGGGGCCTCTGGGCCTCCAGAGGCCGTCTTGTGGGCCTCTTTGGGGCCTCGTCGAGGCCCGGGGCGGCCCGAGGGCACTCCGCTCGGTGCCTGCAGCACGGCGGCGGATCTCGACGAGGCCATTGGGCGCGGCCGCTTCCAGAACACGATGGTCTTCGAGGAGACCCACGTTGCCCTGCAGCTGCGCGTCAACGCGCTGTTCGGCGACCTGCGCGACCTGCGCGTCGAGTTCCTCGCGCAGCACGACTCCTGGCAGGAGGCCGTCCAGCGCGGCGACCTGCCGAGTGTCAAGCTCGCCTGCGGAGGCCTGCGCCGCCTGCTCCTGGAGTCGGTCGCCTTTGGCTGCCTGCTGCGCGAGGCGGAGCAGCGGGCGGAGCGGCGCTTTGCTTTCACGCAAGCCTCGAGGACTCGAAGAAGAAGAAGAAGAAGAAGCGTTGGCATCGACATGAACTTTCGGAGCTCCGTGTGGGCTCCCCAGGGGCTCCCCTGGCGGCTCCCCTGGCTCCCTTGGATCGGCACTGGGGCTCCCCCCTGGCGGCGCCTCCGGCGCCGCCCCTGGCGCGCTCCGCGCGCCACACGCGGACCTCCACAAGTGTATGCTCATGCAGCGTATTCTCGCTCCAAGGACTGGCCTGGACGACTTCGGCGTGCTCACGGACGCCAACGGAGACCCGCTGCTTCCCACCTGACGGCCTTGCGTCCGCCTCCTCGTCGCGCGGACGCGCCAGAGGCCTCGCTGCACCTCAAGCGCGCGGCGCCTCGCCGTTCGCCTGAGGTTTATGCTTCCGCTGGCCCCGAGCTGGCACCCTACCCGTTCCCAGTTCCAGGGTGCACGCTCGAGCCTGGTGCGTCTTGCGCTGTGCGCGCGTCGGTATCCGTCCTCGGGGAGAGGGCGCGCGGCCTGCGGGCCGCGCGGCAGCGCAGATCGGAAGCCGCGCCGTCAACATCATTCCCTTCGCTCGCTCCTCCCCACTCTTCCCCCTCCTCCCCCTCCTCCTTCCCTGGTCCTCATCGTCCCCTTGCCTTCCTCCTCCTCCTCCTCCTCCTCCTCCTCCTCCTCATTTTCCTCCTCCTCCTTCTCCTCTTCCTCTTCCTCTTCCTCCTACTTCCTCCCTCCCTCGCTCCGCCCTCAGCGCCACCGCTCAAGCGGACCCGCCCCCACCCGCCGCCAGGAAGGCGTATTCGCGCACGGCCAGCTCGCCGTCGTTCTCCAGCGCCAAGGCGCCTCCGCCGTGCCCGCGAGCCTCCCTCTTCGGAGTCTGCTAGGGCTCGAGGCCCACAACGCGGGAGCCCTCATCATCATCAGCAGCAGCAGCAGCATCACCATCAACAACAACAGCATCAGCATCATCATCTGCATCGTCAGCATCGTCATCGTCACCAGCATCAGCATCGTCATCGTCATCAACGCCATCATCATCATCATCATCATCATCATCATCATCATCATCATCATCATCATCAGCATCATCATCCTCATACGTATATGCAGAATCACCAGCATCACCATGAGTCACATCATTACCAACATCATCTACTCGACATCATCAACCTTATCCCCATCATTATCAGCATCAGCACCCGCATCATAATCCTCGTCATCATCATCAGTATCATCATCAGCCTCATCACCATCGCCAGCATCATCATAATAATCAGCATGAGCAGTCGCATCATCACCATCATCAGTATCATCACCGTTATCCTCATCGTCATCGTCATCATCACCATAGTTTTCTGCATACCTGTGTCATCCTCATCTTCACCACCATCGTCGCCATCATCAACGTCACCATCAGCATCATTATCATCGTTATCATCATCATCATCATCATCATCATCAACATCATCATCATCATTAGTACCACCAGTATCATCAACACCATGGTCAGCAGCATCATCATCGTCACCAGCAGCATCATTATCAGCACCGTCACCAACATTATCACCATCATCCTTATCATCACCATCATAACAATCATCGGCAGCACCATTATCGGCAGTCTCATCATCATCATCATCATCAACAACCTCACCATCACCATCATCACAATTTGGCTCAACACCATCATGGAAATTATCAGCATCGTCATCAGCAGCATTATCATGATTATCATATCCACCATCAGCATCATCATTATCATCATCATCATCATCATCATCAGCATCATCATCATCATCATCATCATCATCATCATCATCATCATCATCCGCATCAGCACCTTCATCAGCATTATCGACCCTGTCTCGCCTTCCTCACCCCGCGCCCGCCTGTTCCTCCGCGTCCTTCTTCTTCTCTCCTCCTTCTCCTCCTCCTCCTCCTCCTCCTCCTCTTCCTCCTCTTCCTCCTCCTCCTCCTCCTCTTACGCTTGTTCGATATGACTACCAGTCTCCTCTCTCCCCTGAATGTGGCCAGGGCGTGGCGGGTTTCAAAACATGATGTCTAACGGCCGTCTGCCCATCCCGCCACCATGCTTTGGGCTGTGGGTATGAAGCCTAGTGCATGTTCGGTGGGATCTCGTGGGAAGCCCCTCGGGGGCCTCCTGGATGCAGTTTGGATGCCCATTGGGTGCCGTGTTGGAGCCTCTTGGGGCCTCTTTTGGGCCTCTTGGGCTCTTGGGGGCCTTTTTGGAGCCTCTAGGGGGCCTCCTGGGCGCCTCTTGGGGCGGATGGCTCGGATTTTCGGTTCGTGCTCCCTCTTTTGGGGCTGTCTTGGGGCCCTCTTGGGCCGTCTTTGGCGCCTCTTGGGCCGTGTTGGGGCGCTCTCAGGCCATCTCGGGGCAATCTTGGAAGTCTCTTGTGCAGTTTTGGGGTGGGTTTGGGGGCCTCTTGGGCCGTCTTGGAGCGTCGGTCGGAAAGCCGAAACGGCGCGAACGGCAAGGCACATCGATCATTTGTGCCTCTCGGGGCCCTCTTGGGAGGCACCACGCGAAACTACAGCGTGGCAGCACGCGCTTCGGGCCGCCCGCGGCCCCCCGCGACCGCTGCCAAGACCAGGGAGCACTTTGGGGGGGCCACCCGCGGAAGGCGGCATCCGCACCCGCGGTTGCAGCCTGGCAGCGCATGTGCGGTGCCCGGGGCGCCCGCAGACACAACCAGGGGGGGGGGGGCACAGGGTGGGCCGCCCGCAGGCGCACTCGAACCTACAGCCGCACCCGCAACGGCAATTGGGCCACGCCTGCTGGGCCGCTCGCGTGCGCACTCGCACCAGCGGCCAAAAGTCCAGCCACAGACCTCCCCCTCCTCGTCCTCCTCCTCCTGCGCCTTCTCCCCTTTTCCTCCTCCTCCTCCTCGTCCTCCTCCTCCTCGTCCTCCTCCTCCTCCTCCTCCTCCTCCTCCTCCTCCTCCTCCTCCTCCTCCCCCTCCTCCTCCACCTCCTCCTCCTGCGCCTTCTCTTCCCCCTCCTCCTGCTCTGCCTTCTCCTCCTCCTCCTCCTCCTCCCCCTCCTCTTCCTGCGCCTTCTCCTCCGCCGCCTCCTCCTCCTCCTCCCCCTCCTCCTCATGCGCCTTCTCGTTCTCCTCTTCTTCCTTCTGCTCCTCCGTGTCCTCCTCCTCCTCGTCCTCCTCCGCCTCAAGGGGGCCAGGCAAGCTGGCGCATTGGCGCCAGCTTTCCCGCAGCCGCAACTGCAACCAGGCAGCCGCAAGCATGGACCCCCCCGCCGTGCGCTTGCAACCGCAACCGCAACCGCAATCGTGGATTTTGCTGGGATGCCGAAGGCTGGGGTGGACGCGCCCATAGACAACGCGGCCGTTGCGTCCGGCTCAGTACAAGGTCGGAGGAAGTGTAGATCCGTCTAAGAAATGTTCATGCTCTGGGGAACATCCCACGTGGTACTCCAAGTGCCATCGATGGTTGTGGGCCGCCAACATGGAGCGGCCGAGCCAAGCTAAACTGGGCTTCATGGTGGGCAGTGCTCGAAGTTCTGACTTTCGCTTTGAGCGACCGTGTGTGCTCAGTTTCGCGCCACCCCTGGGAACAGCAGCTGGTGTCAAGTCGTCTGGGGAAAGTGTCGTTTGGAACGAGCGCTTCTTCTTTTTTGAGCCGGACAGCCAGGACATGAACATTGCGAGCCGCGTCACGTACCAGTGCTACGTCTATCGTGGCACACGCGGGTCTCGTCGGGACGTGTCCCCGTCTGGAAGGATTGCCGGGCCTTCTACCAGTCATACATGTTGTTGTCTGGAAGATATTCAGGTCCTAGCGGGGAGTATACGGTTTTTGGCGGAGATGCCGCTTCCTGACCAGAGAATAACCCAGGGAAGGATCCAGAAGATGAGTGACGTTGCTGGAGTGGCCAGGGCAGCTTCAGGGCTCCCACGTCAGTTCACAGAGACAGTCGTGGGCAGAAGGCGATCCAAGTTGCGCAATAGCAGATAGTTCTGGCCCAGTGATATCGGCGCTTGCTTTTGCAGTTACACCCAGATTGCTGGGCAGCCAAAGCTGCTCGCGAGCAGGGCCGTGATTGGGTCCGTTCGCACGGGTTTGCGTATCTGCATTTGGCACCTCTTCTAGAGTTTGTTCCAGGAGAGCGCTTGAGCGACATTCACCAGTGGGACCATGCTGGGGGGGCCTCGTCGGTTTGCTCGATCCAGCCAGCACGCGTAACGCAGGATCATTCGGGGTCTGCCTGGCCAGCTGTTGCGCAGCCAAGGTTGTAAAGGCAGTTCGTGGTGTAAAGACAATTCGTAGGGACCTTGTCCTCGAATCTTTCTGGAATAGCCTAACACTGTCATACCTCTTTCTGTCTCGCTCCGACGACGTTGTTGTTTCTGGCCGACATTCTGTTCCACAGCAGAGCCGCCTCAAGCGCACTGTAGTGGGCTGTTCTACAATGTTGCCAATGCACCTCCGACCTGAGGTGTTTTCCTGGCGCTTCTTCTTTTATCATGGTTTTGGTGTTTCTCGCTCTCTCTCTCTCTCTCTCCCTATCCCCCCCCCTCTCCCTCCCTGTCTCTCTCTGTCCCCCTCTTTCCCTCTCTCAGGAGACTCCGCCGCCGAGGGTCCTCTTGGGTGGGCGCCCGAGGGGGCGGGACGGCTGGTACGAGGGGCAGGCGGCTTTCCGAGCAGGCGAGGTGCTTCTTGCACGCCGCCCTGCCTCCTCAGCAGCATCTCGCCCCTGCTACGATGAAGTCGGGCCTGTCCCTCTCGAGGAGGAGTATGCAAAACTAGTCCAACAATAGTCTGGGGACCACCTTATTTTTGTGCAGATTGCTATATGTTTGGATATGTTTTGACACGTGTTTTATTTTTCGTCCAACCCTGTAGGGGGACGTGCCCGACTGAATTCTACGAAGCACTCCGGCCTCCGAGGAGGCCACCCCCTGTCTGCCCAGCGCCGCGTGCCCGCCGCCGGTCCTCGTTGCCATCGTGCGAACACCCCTCCAGCCGCCGGCGTGTTTGTCGTTTGCCTACGGTCGGGCCGAGGCATCAGATCGAGGTCGGCTCCCCAGACACGATCGCGTCGTTAAAAACCAGGACGACCGGTTTTGGACCGTCTTCGGCCTTTCGGGGTGCTTACCAGGCCTCGGGAGCGTGAAAAACCGAGTCAGGACGAAAAACTGGTCCCAGGGAAAGGGTCGGGACTTCCAGGGACCCCGTTCTGAACAAATCAAGACGTCGCATGTCTGGGTCGGGAGGGTGTCCTGATGTTCTTCGTGCTTGTTGGATGCTCCTGTGCATCCTGGGGGAGGGTACTCTCGAATGTCCTCCAGTCTGTTGAAGGATGTTCGTCTGTTCTAGGTCCCATGGTGTCCCCAGACCAGCGCCGCTCTCACCCCTCCCTGAAGTCCCAGACGCTTTCTCAGCCCCCTCCTCTTGTGCGCGCCGCTGGTTCTTGTGCCACCACTGATCACTGGCCGTCTCCCTCTCCTCCTCCTACAGGATCCGGCTTGAATAAGGAACACTTACTTTTCAAAAGGGGCTCGGTCGTTTCTTTGGTTTGCATGTGTTCCGCTACCGTTTTGGTGGCGAGCCACCTTGGCGTTCTTTCGAACTTCGTAGCTTCACTTGGACAAAGGGGTTTCGTTCATTATGTATCGTTCCTTAGGTCAGGCCGAATATTGTATCTCTTCCTCCTCCTCCTTCTGCCTTCTCCTCCTCGGCCAGTCGGTCGGGGTTAGGGCGCTGATGTCCACGGACGCAGTCCATGCCAAGGAAAGGTAACAGTGCACAGAGCATAGGGTCATCTTGTTCCCATCGTACTTAAGGACCACATCCCAGAAGTAAGTTCGAGCTTCTTCGGTACTTATTTGGTGCTCGACTTTTTTCTGGTGGCCAATGCTAAAGTAGGTAGAAACACCATAAGCATAGGGGAGACCACGTTAACGGTGACATCAGGCGTGCAGATCTGGCTCATGGTGGCCAGGCCGTTGATGCCAGCAAAATCCGTCCCCCCCCCCTGGTGATGTATGGGTCAAGCGAAACATAGGACTGTCTGATTCCTTCTTGCTGTCGAGTCATTCCCTTTTCCGCACGAGAGATCACACGATCAAGCTCGGAGTACAAACACGCAGCAAGAATCGGGCACCTCCTACTTGGATATACCTTCGCCTCCGTTGGTCTTCAACTACCATCGGCAGTGTTTCCTTCGTGTGTGAAGTGCTTGTGCTGACGTGTTCGTCTGGCACTATTGGGCATACGACTCACAATCGTGTTAACAGAGGAGGAATTCATGGCAAGCAGACTGGTGGGTTTGACCGAGGGGGGCCCAAGTACGCAGTGGTCTACCCCAATGGCTCAAACCTTCCCCATCCCTCCTCTTTACCCAAGGTGCTTAACAACATCGAATTTCCAAATTCACGGTGCCTCTGGGATGTGTTCTGGAGGGGCAGGGTGGTCAACAATCATTGGGATTTCCGTCAGATGCGGACGGTATGCCATGAGGATGATCGTTCTCAGAATTAGGTTTCTTCTTTGCACTTTCTTTCTCAGCCCCATTTCTGGACGGCCTGTCTGCTTCTCTTAGCGGTCTCGGAGGATAGGTCATGCCTACACGTGCGTTCTCCTGTCGTCGATCATTTTCCGCAGATTCTTCCAGCAGCAAGCAAGTCGATCCATTTGTCTACGATGTGCATCTTACCCAGGTCCCCCAACTCCTCATCATTTCTTGTGTTCAAACCTAGCACCAAGACCTGACACCTACCCTGCATCAACTGTACATCCTCCTCCTCCATCGTTCTCCCGTCTGCCCTCCCACCTTTCTTCCGCGCCAGGGTCCCCGTTTCACCCAGGAGGAAGGGGCGGTGACGGTCTTACGGCAGCACAGTTTGCCCGTTCCCCATTCGTACGGCAGGGTGTGGAAAGGTAGCGTGCAATGTGGCGCAGGCAGCCCGTTTTTTACACGCTATCCCCCACCATCCAGATAACGTGCACCGAAAAAGCCCTGGCAGGGGGATAGCTCGCACAGAAGGGGCCCTCGCAGGGGGGATCACCTGAGAGGAATAGCGCGTGTATCGGAGATCGAGGTTGCACGCTATTTTGCCAACCCCAACCGTGTTGTGAAGGTCTTGCGGCCAGTGTTGCCGACCCTGTGTGCTATGAGGAGGAGGAAGAGGAGGAGGAGGAGGAGGAGGAGGAGGAGGAGGAGGAGGAGGAGGAGGAGGAGAGGGATGAGGTGGAGTAGGATGAAGAGGATGAGAACAGCAAGCGCAGGAGGGCATGGGGGGTAGGGATTGTGGTGATAGGGCGGTGACCTCGACACAAGGAGATGTGGCACCATTGGGCTTAACCTGAGGTCGGGCATATCCCCCTACCAAAACATGCTCCAAACTAGTTGAACATGGTTTTAACAAATCGTCCCCGGACTATTTTGCGACTATTCTTGAATATTCCTCTTGTAGAGGAGCAGGCCCGTCTCAAACTTAACCCCTCTCTTCCGCACCGAGCTCCCATCGGCCGTGCCCAGCGCCTCCGTACGGTGCGCGCGCGCCGCAGGCCTGCATGCGGACGTGGCGTTGGCAGGACAGCGTCGACAGCTTCAGCGGAGGACCCCGCGCGGGTTGGGGCCCTCGAGGAGGAGGCAGGGAGGGGGGAGGGGGAGCGAGGGAGTGGACGAGGAGGATGAGGAGGACGAGGAGGAGAAGGAGGAGGAGAAGGAGGAAAGGGCACCGACGTCGCTACCGAGCTCTCGCCGGATGGGGGCCTCCTGGGAGGCCCTCGTCGCCACCGCTGGATTCGCCGCGAGGTTCTGGTCCGAACGCACTCAACAGGTCTGGGGAGTATCGGTATCGGCATCTATTTCATCACGAAGGAGGAGGAGAAGGTGGAGGCGAGAAGAGTGAGGAGTGTGGAGGAGGGGAGGCGCAGTGTGTGAGGATCGTGGAGTAGTGGAGGATTGTGATACTTATGGGAACGCGCAGGGTGTGCAGGGCAGCCTCATGATCTTTGCCTCCAGTAACATGTTGTTTTGTACAGGCTCCCGTGGTCGGGTGGTGTCTTTCCCACTAACGTGTCAGTCGGTTTGTTGGTCGTTCTCACTTTGACTTCATGGCAAGACTGCTTAAGCAATGGCGCGATTGGACATATAGACAGCAAAGCACAATACGTTGTCGAGACACAAGCTCGGGACCCAGCATATACGCCGTAAGGTGCGATTCTTCCGAGTGGTTACTTGAGCAGGGGAGGGAGAAGACGGAGGCGCTTGAGGAGGAGCACGCAACTGCTTGCGGCAAGTCCCGCCGCCGTGCCAGCCCAACATTCTAGGTGGCGATTGGTGGAGCCTTTCGTCCTCTCTTCTTGAGGAGCTCTCATGTTACCCTTTTGGGCCGCCGTGAGGCTATAATGGGCTCCTCGGGAGCAGTCTTGGGGGTCCCTCGGGATCCTCTTGGGGCATCTTGAGGCTCTCTTGGGCCGTTTTGGGGTCCTCGTGAGGCCTCTTGGGGCCGTCGCGGGGTCGCCTTGGGGCCGTCTTGCGCCGTCGAGGGGCCCTCCACGGCCGTCTTGAGACGGGGGGTTGAGATCTGCGAAACCGTCGCTAGTTTCGAGGGTTGCGGGGGAGGCCCAGCAGAGTAATGTCCCGCGCTGACCTGAAGTAGACCTCGCCATTCCCGGGGGGCTGCGATCTGCGATATTGTCGCCACGTTCGATGGGTGTCGGGGAGTCCAGCGGAGTGACGCCCCGCGGGTCCTGGAGACATGGCCGCGCCTCTGCGAGCGTTCAGCTCCCGCGATGCACGATGCAAGAATCAAGCGGGGATCTTGGTGGGCAGATCGGCTTCGCTCGCTTCTTGCACTAGCTCTGAACAGTTGATCCCGTGGAGCGCCAGAGGGACACGGCGCGGTCCGCGCTGCTTGTACAGCGCGCCATTACAACATGTTCGCCACTTTCTTTCCTCATCCTGCTAATTTGGTTGTCGTCCTCTTCCTATTTGCCGTCTCACGGCTGCTGTCGCGCGAGTTGTGCGGCCCCTCTTCCGTCTTTTGCCTGCCCCTCGTTCCCAGCCCCCACTTCCTTCCCGAGCCTTGGATTTCAATCCTCACTTTTGTTCCTGGCGTCTTGTGAGTCGCACGACGCGCGCAATTCTCGTATATCTTGCACAACGAATGACAGTTCCTGCGTTGCCACTGGCCAAAGTATTATTACTGACCAGCTCCTCGTGTCATTTCGTGCAGAGGGGTCGGGTGCCTCGCAGGATTAGTTCACGAGGGGTCGTGGCCACGGGTGCGCGGACCCATAGTCATTGCACGAGGGGCCGTGGCCACGGCTGCGCTGATCCATTGTTTTTTTGGAACGGGGGGGGTGGTCCCGGGCGGGGTGGCGATGAAGCAACACTTCTTGTGGAGGGGGTAGAGGGTGGGGGCCCTAGCAGTCCATAGATGCCATAGTAGGGAGGCGCTGCTTTCTCACGGCTGCCCTGGCATCCTTGTTTCTTCGGCCCGTCCTGAGCCAATGCTGACGTTCACGGTGCTGCAAGTGGTAAGTCGGACTTCCAAAGGTCCTGCATTCTTACTTTGCATCTTTCTTGTGGATTTGGACTGTGCCAGGCAGCCCTTGGTATTCTGCCACGCCTCAGCGTGCCATGGGGCACCGTGGCGGACAGCGGCAGCCTGTTGAGCATAACGATCAGAAGGCGGGAGGAGGGCTAGGACCACGAGGAGCGGGATCTGGAGTAAGATTAGAGCGAGTGAGCGAGCTGGGATGATGTGGGAGGGAGGGAAGGATCAGCAGCAGCAGCACGAGGGGCAAACTGATGGGGGGCGAGGAGGAGGAAGAGTATGAGCCAGAGGAGGTCGAGGAGGAAGAGGAAGAGGATGAGGCGGAGGATGAGGAAGAAGATGAGAAGGAGGAGGAGGAGGAGGAGGAGGAGGAAGTGGAGGAGGAGGAGGAGGAGGAGGAGGAGAAGGGGGAGGAGGAGGAGGAGGAGGAGGAGGAGGAGGAGGAGGAGGAAGAGCCAGGAAGAGGAGGAGGAGAAAGAGGAGGAGGAGGAGGAAGCAGCAACAACAGCAGCAGCAGCAGCATCAGTACGAAAAGGGATCGATGATGGTGGCAACGTCGGCGACGGCGTCGGCGACGACGACAGCGACGGCGCCCGCGACGGCGACGGCCACGCCGGCGGCGGCGGCGACATGCCCCTCAGACACCGTGGAGTGCTTCCGCGACCAGCCGTGGCTCGCCTGCAGCCTGGGCGCCTCGCCGGGCGGCCACTCCACCGCCGGGCCCAACCCGATGGCGCCCCCGCCGCGCGTTGACGGCGACGACGGCGGCGAGGCCGACGGCGGCGGCGGCGGCGAGGGCGGCAGCGCCCCAGGTGGTGGCGGCGCCGGGCGAGCGCGGTGTCTGCGGCGACGGGCGAGGGTGGCAGAGAGGGCGGGGACGACGACGCGGGGCGCAGAGGTGGGTGGGGGGCGGCCGCCCCGCGCCCGGCATCGTGGCAGCAGGAGGAGGAGAAGAAGAAGAAGAAACAAACATCAACATAAGAAATATAATACACATACAAAGGAGGAGCAGGAGCAGGAGCAGGAACAGGAGGAACAGAGTGAGCAGGAGGAGGAGGAGGATGACGAGGAGGAGGATGCGGAGGAGGAGGAGGAGGAGGAGGAGGAGGAGAGGAGGAGGAGGAGGAGCGGACGAAGGGAGGAGGACTAGGGATGAGGACTGATGGGGAAGGCCGAAAGAATAGGCGGGTGCTGAGCTTACTGTTGAGGCCGGAATCAGGACATCATGGCCAGCACGGGTGGCATTTGACGCCCCCCCCAGCACGGATGAAATATGCCTTTATATTCTTTGTCAAAGTGTTCCTTTCGTGTACGTACTTTTCCACAGAAGGAGGAGATCCAGGAGTTGTGACGTGCATGTGGGCATTGAGGCGCACATAGAAGAGGCTGACGGCAACGGCGAGGAGAAAAAACAAGGGGTTGCAGGGGGGGAGGCGAGGCCGAAAACGGCTAGCAGGAGGTGGGGCAAGACGAAGAAAGACAGGGGAGGAAAGACGGCGTCCCACGACGCGCGATTGGATCCTGGGCGAAAGAGGGCGTTGTAGGTGACAAACAGAACCCACTGAGCAGCTCGTCGTTCCTGTTGTCCCGTCGCGCGGACAGAGTTGATTGCCCGCCCCCGCCACTTTGGCAGCAGGTGGCCGTCCGCCCAGGGGTCAACCCAGCCGCCTGTCCAAGAAGATGGGGGCCGGTCCGACCTTCGCTGGTTCGACGGCGGGCCTGGCCTTCGACCCACAGCCCGAGTTCCACCGGCCTCCCCTGGGAACAGGCCCGAGTGCGGGCCCCCCCCCAAGAGAGCGTCGACAGCGGTGGGCTGCAGTCGGACCGAGGCATAAGATCGAGGTTGGTTCGCCTGGTGTTCTGCGTGTTCGCTGGATGTGCTTGTGCATCCTGGCGAGGGTACCCTTGGATGTTTTGTGCGTTTTGGCTGACAGAGGGTCCCATATTCTTGAGGGGTGCTCCTTTTGGCCGAGGTTCGACTGCATGCTTGATCAAGTTCTCGGGGGCAAGCTTGCTCGCGTGGAAGAAGGCTCCCCGTCCAGCGACCAGCCGTGCACGGAAAATTGGGAATTTCGCAAGCCGCAGGGTTGCTTGCACGTCGTTTTGTCTTTTCGGCCCCGTGGTGAACGAAAACGCGGCGGCGATCCGGGAATGGGCGCCAGGACGGTGCCACAAACGAAAACACGACGTGTTCGTGTCAGGGGCGGCCTTTCATAGGCCAGGGCCAGGAGGCTTCAGGGGTGCCCATTCGGCATGACATATAAGGGTGGGCCTTCTCCAGCCTGAAGTTTGAGGGGGAGAGAAGGGGGAATATTGAGGAGGGTGGAGAGAGGGATAACGAGGAGGAAGAGGAAGAGGAGGAGGAGGAGAAGGATGAGGAGGTGGAGGAAAAGGAGGAGGAGGAGAAGGAGAGACACGAGGAGTGAGATGATGATAGCGAGCGAAGAGGAGGACGCGGAGGAGGAGTAAGAGGAGGAGGAACAAGACGAACAAACGAGCGAAAATAAGTGTAAAGGGGAGGAGGCGGAGGAAAAGAAGGAGGACGACAACGACGACGAGGCAAATACATGAAAAGGACCGAGTGCAGGATGAGGACGGGAAACTTTAAGGGTAGCTCTTTGGGAGATGTTACAGCATCGGGAGCATAGCTCGCGCGCCGTTGCCTTTGGCCCAAGGCACGCGCGCCCTATTTGCCCGGACGCCGCGAGTGTTCGCTATGTGCTGGAAAGATCATTACATCGATCTTATCCTATCTTATCCGTCCACCCCTCATACTGTACCTTCACAGCAGAGCGATGGACGCAATTTGCCAGGCTATATGCCATATTTGAGCTACCAGGCTCACTTTCGACTTGGTAGCGGAGCTGGCCGCACTCTCGTGTGGTCAGCTCTTGCTCTTCTTAGCCTCATATTCTTCGGCACGATCTTCGTGACTACCTACCACCCTGCGCCACCACTCCCAGTACGTTTACGAGGATCTATCCAAGAGCAAGAAGCAACACGAGAGGTACGACGTCTAGACGACCAGACTGGTACCATATACGCTTCATCATTGCGTTACCACCAACCGCTCGGCAACGAGCCAACAGCGCAATACTTGAAGCAGGGGCGGGGAGACCCGCCAGACAGAGCGCCTCGAAGACTCGACAAGGCGCTACCCCAGCGCGACAACGCGCATCATAACCGTCCTTCGTTACACATTCTCGGGCTAGTCGTTTTCGCTATTATATGGTTCGCGCTGGGGGCAGCAATCGGACACATGCGTCGTGGAGAAAACAGCACCGATGGGCAAACACATGGCCCATATTGGGACCCTCAAGGTAATGTACCTTTTCGTGAGTACATCTACGAGGTCAACGCATGGCTCAACGTTACAAGCGGACGTATGACGCCACAGGCCCAAGCGGCCGCAATACAACGCGGCCTAGGTGGCCTAGCGAGGACACTCGCCATGAGGGTACCGCCTGACATTATCAACTACGGTGCTGACATTGATGGGGTCCACACAGGCCCAGTGACCTACATCATGTTCCTCCTAAGCATGAAGTTCGAACGCCTGGAAGATGAGCGACAGCTCACTTCCGGCACACAACGCATCGACTTCCACGTGCCTCACGGGGAACGAATCGATGTCACCCTTACCCGATTCGAAATGGCCCGACTTGAGGCACAATCGGTGGGACTCGACCATCCCAACTTCCAACTGCTAACCACTATCCTATTCCGCGCCTTAGGCGTCGGCAACCAGCGAGCCATGCAACTCTTACAGCCACTCAATCACCAAATGCCCCGAACACAACAACAGTATGATGAGTTGCTGGAGAGGATGCGTTCGATAGGCCACCTATCCGAACGGTCTCCTGGTAACATAGGATCTGTGTTTGGAAGGGGAAGGGGATCTGGTAGTGGAAATTTCTACACTACCTTGACTACTGAAGCCCAGCCTGGAAACGGGCCCTCAAGCATATGGGCCGATGACCCAGGTGAATCCACTGCGTTATTAGCAGGGGATCGATCACAACCAAGCTGGGCAACCAGCCCTCCTTCTAGAGAACCACAACCACACCGTTCTTTATGGGGGGAAGCAAACCCCCTAACCGACGGTGTATCCACCTACTTGGGAGACGAGGATTTCGACTCCGGCACCGATACAGACACTATATCATCAGATGGTGTTGAAGCTTTAGATTGGTCAGATATTATGAATATGGATAACGACAATCAGCGTGCTGAGCATTTGTTCTGGTTATTACAACAGGCTAAACGAAGGTGGAGGAGGTTCACACGAAAACCAGTGCGTCGTGTTAGAAGGAGGATACGTAGAAGTTTTAAAGGAAAGGGTAAAGGCAAGCGAGGTCGTCGGAGGTTGAACGGACGAGGTATCGCGGCATTTCTCCAGAGGCTCTCAGATGAACAACATGATGAGATATTCTTTGGGGGAAAAGGCCGTGGTAAAGGCCGTGGAGAGACCTCAGGAAAAGGCAAAGGTAGGCGGGGAAACCCGCGAGGTAGAGACGGCCAGGTTCTCAAATGCCATGAATGTGGTAGTTCCGATCATCTTGTGCGAGATTGTCCAGTGAAGGGAAATGGAAAGGGCAGGTCGACCGAAGTCCATTTTGGCTCAAGTGAACCATCCATTGAGTATCTGAGCCTCCAGGACTTTGAGGCTATGGAGCAGATATTTTTCACTTGGGTTGTTGGCATGGACAACGTCGACGAGCTCGAGGGGTATGGTCATGGATTGTACGCGTACTACCTCGAGTACGTCCGCCGGTTCGTTATGGGCAGTAACGAGCTCACTCCCGTGGAACACGGTACGCTGGGAAACCAGCCTCTTTCTTTCTTCGACTGGATGTTCGGGAACCCAGGCAACATCATGGCCTACGAGAGTGACGACGAGGACACCACTATAGAGGCTTCGCCTTCCGAGGTTCAACGGAACCTCGAACCTCCGCCTGAAATCCCGCCTGGAAACAGGCCGTCTTTGATAGGAGAATATCCCCAGACCACTGGAGACTTCATTGAAATGGAGTCTCAGGCATTTGTTCAGGCCTTCATTGCAGGCGAACCAGATACTCCGTTCATGCCTCCTGGCTCGCTTGCTCCAGGCGAATATGGACCACGCACCCTTTTACAGACCCTCATGAGGATGCATGAGATACTTGTTACTGGCTATCCTGAGAGTCAAGAACATATCGAAGCTGACATTATGACAGAACAGGATACTGATGCTTGCGGTAGCTCAGAGCTGTTGTTGGCAGCTCTGACTCTCATTGACAGCGTGCATCCTCAGGACGTGCAGAGACACTTGATATACTCCCGTGGTAGATGGCGTAATGCTCTAGAAATGGCTATTGCTATGCGCGGTCATGATCTTCCTCCGCCAGGATGGGGTCTCCAGGCGGTGGGAATGAGGCCAAACCATACGGCCATGCGCAACATTGCTGGGCAGCCTGTGCTCGGCAACGAGCCTGAGCCGACAACAGTGCCTCCTACACCGGGACAGCCGAGCGACGCACAGACGCAGGCTATGCAGGGAAACCTGCCTGTATCAGATACGCCAATGGCCATCATCATTGGTAGTTCGACATCAGAAGAAGTGGAAGGCGATGGTTGCGGGTTAGATGAGGATGACGTCACCACCCTCATGATGGACGTGAATGGTGAGGAAGAGGTTGACTTCGATCCTGATGAGTCTGAATCATCATCACCATCGGCACAAGCGCCGTTTGC